AAAACTATTTGCCACATTATGTGAATCATTACTAATGAATAGGAATACCATTTTAGGAAAATAATATTTGAAATATCGTGTTGTTCTACAATAGAAATTATTATAAGCAATATAGTCCAAAATAAAAAAAAAAGTACTGAAAATCCTCCTTTACACAATCCTATATTTTTTTAACATGCATTGTCCAGCTACAGAATTTCAAGGAGAATGCACATATGTTCATATTTGCATGGCTTGTTTCCTAAACATGTGAGAGTAAAGTACTGAAGAAACAAAGGAAGTTGATGAATGACAGATAGTCATTTTCACATCTTACATGCCTAAAGTGTAGCAGTGTTTCCATCAGGTCATAATTTACATTATCTCTGTTCCTCAGAAGCAGGCTGCAGGTGAATATTGTCCTCTTATATAAATGAAAAAATGAAATTCAGAGAGATGCAAACATACCCAGTACCAGAATATTAGGTCAGAGTGATCTATTACTATCACACACAGAAGAAACCTGACAGTTTTTTTTTACTTTGTTGCTACAGCATCTCATGTAACACATATCACAGTTTGCACACAGCCCTGTAATTATTGATGAGTATGTCTTTCATCATTCATATTTTACTGCAAGTGATTTAAAATAACGATCACACTTTAGACACATTCTTTCAGTCACATTCTTCCCCCTTGACCCATAGTGTTAGCCCTGTGCTTTGTACAAAGAGAAAGGTAATAAACTTTCATTGGAGATGAAACTTTCATGGAAATGTATTTTGAGATTGACTTGGTAAATGCTTTGTCATTAGTGTATCATCTTTTTCTGTGAGCAATTATGTCACATGTGACTTAATGAGTCCCTAATTCCTTTTCTTGGGTTTTCTTCACTATATATCTTTGAAGAGCTACGTTTAAGAAGTGATTTGAGCAAAAACTCATTTTATGTGGAAACTGGTTTGTTTGGTGAACAATACTAAAATGGGGGAAAAAAAGTTTGTTTGTTTTTTTTTTAAGTGTTAGTGTTCAGAGAGTGATGGTTTATCTTTCTGTATATTATAGACAACTTTAAATCTTTCAAAATATGTATTAAAATTTATATAGTGTAAACTATTGCGTTGTTATATGTCCTAAAGTCAGCACATTATTTTGTGGCTGTCGATAAGATTAGGCAGGTGGTGAGACTGGCACATGGGAATATATTAACCTCCTCAAATTAATAACTTATTCTGATTTCCTTTCTACACTTCTGTTTCCACAATAATTATGAAAACAAATCCCTATATCTAAGTTAAATGTAAAATATGTGAGTAGACATGGCTCTTGACCTTGATGTGATAACTTAAACCATTAAAAATAGTAGAAATGCATTTTCACTTTTATTTATTGCATTTATTTTGTACTGAATGTATTCCTGCAATATACATGTTTGTTTCCTCACTTTCCTTTGGGATACATTTTTCTTATGTGGAAATTCCTCTTCTGGATTGCTTTTTTTTTTTTTTTTTTCCCCCAGTAAGGGTCATTTGAATATGAGCTGAAAGTGTCAAGGAGAGCTCACAGATGGGTCACTGTGACTATGAGCTGTGTGCATTATGCAACACATCTCGGAGGAGTAGTTCACCTGAATGTATTTGCTGAGCAGAGAATTTACATCTAACCTCTTAAGTTAAGCAGTACTATGTATTTTTAAGCATGCACAGTAAAAATTCACCATTCCTTTTGGGCCACCAACCCTGCGTCTACCACTACTGTCTGACCTGAGCAAAGCCACCAAGTCTACCAGTGTAATGACAATGGCAATGGTTGTTTCTAGAGTGATATCCTTTAGACGATTTGAACCTATTGATTTGTAAGGTTTAAGTGAGTAGTGAACCATTTTCAGAGATTATCCAAGGCTGCTTATGAGAAGAGCATATGCGCTTTCTTTTTTTTTAACTTATTTTTTAATCTCTATGTTGCTTCATCAAGTGAAAATATATATCGTATAAAATAAGCTATTCTGGTTTTAACTAAAGCCAGACTTAACAATTGGAGTACTCATATTGCACTATGGAAATAATTTTCCCTGTTTTTCCAAGTAGTATGGTGCTATTATTGAAGTTGTTTTTTTTTTTTAACATATTCTTTTCTTTTTCTCCTGCTACTACTGCCTCATATATCCATGTTCTTCTAGGTTTTCCCCTCTTAACAACCAAATAACATTTAAATAAATCCCAAGTCTCCCTAGGAAATGTCTGCCATCACCCCCCTTCCTTTGCACAGTTAATGACTCCAGTTATTATGGAGGAAAGAGTACGGAGTCAAATATTTGGTTTGAAATTCTTATTGTGTGACATGTGTGATTTTCCTCCACAATGAATGGGAAAGTATTATCTGCTTTATAGATGTGTATGAGAATTAAATTAGATACTTGGCATATGATTGGTACTAAAAAATGATCGATGTTTCTCTTCTTTATCTTGTAACTTAATTTACTCTGTTTTGTTAGTTTTACAGTGGTATTACATATAATGGAAAGTATTCTATTTCATTTGCATTGTCAATAACATTCATGTAGATAAATATTATTTATTTTTGACACTATGAATAATCACCTAGACAGTTACCATTTTTTTCCAGAGACAAAATAATTCAAATTAAGTATCCTTCTTTAATTTATACATTAATTATTATGTACTTGTTATTGTAATTTAAAATTTTCCATCACTTTCAAAATTAATAAATTAACTGTGAACATTAATATCCACTAATTTGAAAAGTGCTAAGTATGCAATTAAGAATAATTTTGAAATATATCTTGTGTGTCAGAATGTGGATAAGAGAAAACATTGAACTTGATACCTTTCCTTGTAGTTTTGTTTTATCTCAGCCACATTTTTTTCTTTGTCAATGCTTTTCCTGTTTGAAAAAGTAAAATGTTATATTTTTCATGACCTAATTTGTTTTATAGTATCTGTGAAATTAAGAAGAAAAAATTTATATCTATTATGTACAGAATATTCACTCAATATCTTTGATTTTTTTAAATGCCCTTGCTTCTTATATGGACACATTAAAATAAGAAAAATATAACTAATAATAATTTTTAAAATATATATTGCTTATAGCCTAGACATCCTTCTGTGCAGTGAATATTTTCTTTATATAATTTAATGTTACAAATTAACTCAGTTATTATTCATGTAACCACATAAATTAAGTAAAAATCATTCTTCCTCCTCCCATTATCATATAGAAAGTCCAGGCACTAAGGAGGTAAATGACTCTTCAGTGTTATAGAACAGTAGAGTGGTAGTTGAGATTGGGTGGTCCTGTTCTAGAATCTGTGCTATTATCACTTTATAAATCTGGATAATTTTGTCTTATAAACAATGCAGATATTTCAGAAATGTTTCAGAATTTATTTTGGTAAAATGAGGTTTATTAATATACCTTAACTGATTTTATATCAATTTTAATTGATACTTAGTATCTCATGAAAAATTTAAAATTTTATACTTATTAAAAAATGTGTATATAGGTCACCAGAAAAGAAAGGAAGAATGGGAGGGAAGGGCCTCCCTGGTGGCTCAGTGGTTGAGTGCTGGGCTGCGAGGCTGCCCGCAGTCTCTGCAGTGCCGGTTCCATTCCCCGGCCACCTGGCCAGGGTCCCACATGGTGTGCAGACCTCTCCTGCCACCCGCTGCTCCCCTCAGCAGTGTGTTTCCTCAGTCTGCCTGCTCTGCTCTCCGGTCTGACTCTGGTGAATTCTCTCACCCTCCTGTGCTTCTGACTGTACCCAGTGCTTGTATAAATAAATAAATAAATCTTTTTTAAAAAATCCTTTCTAAAAAAAAAAAAGAATGGGAGGGAAGGAAGGAATCTAATTTATACATGGTCACTCTTAAAAATGCTAACTGAGATGTCTTCAAAATATGGCTACCATACCTTCAGTACTTCTTTCCTTAAGATCAGCCTATGCAGAATTTATGTAGGCAGCCATACAAGTTTGTGTCAGTAAAATGACTATTTTAATGCTTACTGTTTAATGTCTTTCATGTATGTTTAACATTTCAAAACAAGATTTCTCATCTCAAGTTGTACGATCTTGGAGAATGGGTTGCATGTTTTAGTCAGTATTCTGTGTTCTGTCCTCATGCTTCATAACAATAAACCTCTGAGTGACTTAACTAGGTTTGAAAATAATTAATTAACTTATATAATGTGCACAGATCTACTTACAATGATGCTTAGAAAAGTAGTGTAGTAAATATGTTAAATAACTTCATAATGAATTTCAGTGTCTGGAATGAAAGTAAGACTATTGTACTTAACTTTTTGTTTTATAGTCATAGTAATAATAATGAATGGATTTTTTTTTTACTTTCAAATGTTGGTAAAAATTATATTTGTGGAAAATATTTATAAAACTAGTCCCAAATCTTTTTTTTACATATTAAAGTTTGTATTTATATTAATTTGCTCAGTGACACTGAATTTTTTCACTCTAGGGGATTGCAAATATTAATACTTGTATAAATAATGTTCTTAGGTTACTTTTTCATTTCTATAATTGTTTCTGTATTTATTAACATGAGTAAGGTGGGAAGTACACAGATAACTAGCTAGGAGACAAACTTTCAAAAGACTAAGTTAATAATACTTGCATTTGAGGGCTTCCCCGGTGGTGCAGCGGTTGAGCGCTGGGTTGCGAAGCTGCCCGCGGCCTCTGCGGCGCCGGTTCGATCCCCGGCTGCTCCCCGGCCACTGGAGGAGGGTCCCACATGGTGCTCAGACCTCTCCTGCTGCCCGCTGCTCCCCTCAGCAGTGTACTTCGGTCCTTCTGCCTGCTCTGTTCCCCGCTCTGGCTCTGGTGAATTCTCTCACCCTCCCGCGCTTCTGACTGTACCCAGTGCTTGTATAAACAAACAAACAAATAAATAAATAAATAAAACATGCCTCCATAAAAAAAAAAAAATATATATATATAATACTTGCATTTGATAACCTTTTTTTCTTTTGGTTCTTATTTTCAGGATTCAGAAGAAGAATTTTTTGTTTTTGAAGAATTTTTTTTCTTTTTGAATTAAAAAAAAATCAGTCTACAAGTAGAGAATTGGAATCAGAAAGACAACCATTTTGTTTCTACTTTGGAATACTTGCTCTTGAGCCTCTCACGTCTGAGTACACAATCATGTGGTCATCACAGCTACTGCTCTTCATGATGCTCTTAGCACCGATAGTTCATGGTAAGAACTTTAATTTGCTTTTTGTGCCATGCTAAAAATTATCTCTCTTAGTTACACTAGATATTTCTTTAAAATCTTTGTTCTATAATTTTGCAACTGTTTCCTATCATATATTAATAACTTAAAGAATTTTTATGTACCTTGAGCTGCTATCAAATAACCTTGAGTTAGATTGCTAAAGTGCTCATTTAAATATATGTAGAAAAAAAGTTGTTTTTTTTTTTTTTAATGGAGATCACTTATGTTGTATCTTTGTTTTTATCCCCTTTGGGAAATCTGATTATTAATTATAACATTGTGATATTTTGGTTTGTACCTTGTTGCACTTAAGTATTATTTTAATGTTACCAGTATGCACATTTAAAACAAAACACCAAAAATCCCTATTTCCCTAAACCAAGTGTTTATTATTGTGCTCAATCTTTAGTACACATTATGTAAACTATACCCTTTTTGTAAAGGGATGGTTTTCTGTCATAAAGCTTTAAATGCAAAAAAGAAAAAAAAAGTCAAAATTATATGAACTTAAGTGATTTCATAGGAGCATGTTAATATACTAAGACTTATACCCTCTTCATTATTTATATGTATAAGACAAATATGACAGCTAAGAAAGTATGTTCACAAATTTTAAAAATCAAAATTAGTAAGCAAGGAAGAAAATTAAATTTTGTAAATTTAGTGAAATATTACCAAATCTCTCTAAAGACTGTCACACTTCTGGTTACCATGTCTATTCCCTTTTCACAATTCAAAGTTTTCTATTTATTATTACTAACTTTTCACTAAGATGAAAATGGTATAAAATAGTCACTATCTAATATGTTGAAAATTATAGTGAAGCACAAAGAACACAGCTGTTTTTGCAACTGCTTAGAAGGTCTCAGAGTATTACAGTATTGCAAGCAGTTAAATGAATTTTTAGTCACACTTTTGGTTTTTAATGGACTGCAGAATCCATTGTAGGTCATCAGTGATGCAATTTTGAATTTTCTCCATACTCCTAAGTTTCAGCATAAATTGCATTCTCTTATCATTATTGAAACTTGGTAAAATAACTGTTTCTTTTGAAGTTTTACTTTAAAGTTTTCCTGATGTAACACATTTTGTTCTAAAAAAACCACTATAATAAAGACAATTTTTGTAAAAGAATGAACATGTAAATATTTGACTATCTAGTTTCAAGACATGTAAATTTGTCAAAAATCTCCTACCTTAATTCATATACTGATGCAACACTTTCCTCATCACACACTTATGCACATATAATATTTTGTGAACTAGGACAATAGAATAATTATGTTTCTTAAATTCTTTTCTAATTATATGTATAGCTAAAGATGATTCTAATTGGTATTTTTGTTGTTATAAAAACCTCATGCATAAGGTTATTTTAAGGATTAAATAGGATATGTAAAGCATCAACACAATGCACAACAAACATTAAGTGCTTGAATCACACTGTCTGCCCCTACAATTTATTTTTATTCCAGTGAGTATTAACAGCCCAGAATTAGGTAACCATGAGAGCTGTTTCATGTTAATGCTTGAGGAAAAACCACACCCATGTGCACAAGCATACACCCAAACATTTTGTTTTAAACTTATAGTAAATATAAAGTAAAATATATAAAATATATAAAGTATACAGACACACGCACACACACATATGCACCAAGTGCATGTTTTAAAAGTAAGTCTAAAATTACTCTTGTTAGGGGAAGATAGGTTAAAAGTAACAGAAATATACATAGCAAGAAAGACTACTGTTAGGGATTTCAGTGGACCTCAGATGTTGCTGAACCAAGATCATGAGTCCAGGGTAGCAAACTTTATTGGACACTTATATACACAAGCTTTTCAAGTAACTCAAAGTATTTTAATGCCCCAAGTAGGGAACTTGGAAAGCAAGCCTACTACATAAAATATGTCAGGCTAAAAACTTAAATAAACCTTTCCACTTTTTTCTGAGCTACATTATAATATATTGACTTTGAGTCATTACAAACTAAATAATATAATAGAAACCTGCCAATGAAAAACTTCATCCTTATTACTTTGTCTTTATTTTAAAACTTTGCACTAGAGAAAAGGCAAGTCAGTTTCCCCTGCTTTCTACAGAAGGCCTTTGTGTTACTTTGTGATACCACAAATGACTTGTCATTAAAAAGGATTCATATGAGCATCGTTTGGGGGCACATCTTGCTCATAAGTAGAGGAATGTCTGTATTTTTTGATCATGCTGAAATCCAAGAGAATAGACATTTTTAGAGTTTAAATAAATAGACATTTTAGAGTCTGTCTAAATAAATAAACAAAAAGGAGTACTAAGGAGTTGTATATACCTTAAAACCTTAGCTGTTTGTGTTAAAACGGATTTTTTTTTTTTAAATAGCTGGTAGCATCGCCTTGCCTTCTGTGGTTGAAATGCTCAGCTCTCTTTTTCCTAAACATAGAGAATTAACTCTTTTGAGTCATGACCTGAATTGTTAACCTTTTCTTATACAGCAATAATAATGATAATGAGCAAGTAACAATAATTACTGAATTTATAGACAAAGTTTAGGCATTTAGGTACAAATAATCCTCACAATTTCATGGGTTTGATGATATTTATTTTGATTATCATTAACTTTCTGTAATATATACCTCTAGATACCTGTGGCAAAGGAACTTGAATGGCATTACATAGCTATTATGAAACCCAAAGGGGATTGTCAAAATGAAAGTGCCTGGCTTCTTGAGCTGGTCATAGTGCCAGCAGAGAATCAATTCCTACCAAGGTCATTCTGCCCCATGGGAATTGCATCTCAAACTTTCCTGCTTATATTTTGGGAGCAGGTGAGGAAAACAGAGAAAACTTGTTTCTCCCATGTTCTCAACAAAGACATACTAGACTTTGAAGTCTTACTCACCTGAGACAAAATTCAGCTCTGTCATTTCTTAGCTCTGCAGCACTGTTACTTGTAAAAGTAGTTAACAAATATCATTTATTACCTACTATAAGCCAACTAACTATGTTAACTACTAAATATATGGTGGGAAACAAAAGATTCTTATTTCTTCCCCCAAGGAGCTAATAATGGCTTAAAACTTTCACTTTGGAAGAATGAACATTTATTCCATGAAGAGTTATTTTAAGAAATAGAATATATATAGTTTCCAACTAACATAGTGCTTGGCATTTGATATGTCTTCATATATTTATTCTCCAACAACTAACTACCAAAATTTCTGAGCAGATGATCAGGGAATTACACAATTTTTCATATTCTTCATTTTAAAATTAAGAAAAATCCACTTGAAATTCAATATTTAAATTTTGTCAGAAATTTCTTAATACTAGTTTCTAAATAAAATTGTTATCAAACTAATATCGATTAAGAGTTATCACATTGTTTTCAGTATACAATAGTATATTATATAGTTGTCACTGGTAATAATATATAATTGGTAGTATATAACAATCAGTGATATGTTTTTTGCATGACCCCTACATGGATTTAAAATTAGACAATACACTAAATAATTAATTCTGAAAAATATTTACATTAATTGAATAATATACACATCATCCTACCATGTCTGGCCAATATTTTATATAGGAAAATCAAATTAATCAGTGCACCCACATTGTGTATAATTATACAATTTTGTAAATGAGGAAATGTCTCTGGTTTTATGTCTATCTGTTCATATTCTATGTCTCTGTGTACCTCTGTATTTCTTTTCTGTTTCCCATGACTGTGCGCCCTTCCTGTACAGCCATAAAAACTTACCTATAATGCAGTGAGACTAGAATTACTAAAAAGAAGCAATTAAAAGAGTGACCATTTCTTTGCTATTACCTAATGTAGTGTTTCACGGAAATAAGGACTTTTTGTTTCATTGATGTTGTTGGGAGCAAAGGAAAAGAATGGAGTCAGAGAACAATGACTCAGTGATAACGTGGACACCTGGGGTGCATTCTGATGGGCAGTACAGGAGTAGCAAGGTTTAGTGTGGAACCTGAGCTAGGAGAACTGATCCTGGGAAATTATTTCATCTAAACCACCAGGGCTGGAAGTTAGAAGGTGATTGTGGTGTTCAGATGTTTTAAGTATGTTTCATTATCTTCTTAATGAAACATAATGATTTGAAAAGAGAAGACAGGTAAAAGGAACTTACTGTGAATTTACTGTTTTTGATGTTTCCTTTGTGTAAAAAATTTAAAAAAAATATTCTATAACCACAATATGAATACATTTTATTCTCCAAATTTATTTTTTCTTGTTAGAATTGCATGCATGTTTATATATTTTATGGACTTTGTAGGCTAACTGCTTTGTTTCTTCGAGAAGTTAACTATAATAAACAGTTCTTGTCAGAGACAAACCAATGATTAGATGTAAATTTGTTTAGTACTTAAATGTTTTGTGTAATTTGCATTTTATTATTAATCTATATTTTATAGCTGTAACACTATTTAGTGGGTCAATAATTTAAAATAATGCCCATATATTTTTCAAGTTCCAGTAAGATGTAAAGTTTGACAGGATACCAAATTACATTTTACTCCATAACATTTTACCATATTATTCTTTTTTATGATGTCAGGTTTTATTATAAAATGTCAGGTTCTAGCACTACTTAACTTTTTTGAAACTAATAATCCTTGAAATGTTTATAATGTTTGCTAGCCTAGGTAATTCCAAATATTCATGGAATACCACTATTTTTATGGTCAAATATTTTATACAGAAAAATCTTTTTCATGGTAATGGTATATGAGGTTACTGCTAACACATTCAATACCATTTTCATTAGCTACTTAGTATTGAATTTCAAAACATGTATTTTGTAAGTTACCTATGCAGTCTCTAGTATCATAGTACAAACTACAAATATGCTGATAACCTTTCTCTGTATGAATTTATTTAGAAGCCTTCCCTACATACTCCATACACAAGTTTTTCTTTGTCTTCTCACTTGAAAAACATGTTTTGTGAGTTTTATTGTAG